CAGATCCTGCCAATTATGTGTCGTTTCATTGACTGTCGATAGCGGCTGGTGGTGGTGACTGTCGGCCGACAATCGTCTTGGATGGTTGGAGGTCTTTTGTTAAGTTTTAAATTTTTGTTGCTATGGTGTTTTTAGCTAAATTCTCAAATGCAGGGGGGTCAAAAAATATTCTAAATAATAATATTATTATTAAAAAGAAAGGGTAAGTTAGCAAAAACCCCTCCGATAATAGTTTATTCCTTCCAACCAAACATATTAATTATTTATAATCAACAATCTAACTAAACATATTAATATAACATTCCCTATTAATCTTCAAGGTAATTTATCTAAGTGGTAATCATATGTTTTCAGTGATAAAAAATTCCCAAACCAAACAGTACAAAAGGGCTATTATTTAATCCCATGAGGTATGATAAAATAACAAATATCCCCTTGAAGTTTCAACAATAACAGAAATTTCCTAATCATTAAGTTTTAGACGTTAAAATAAATGGTAAGATGGCAATTTGATAACATTTGCTAACTCATAGCAGAGTAAATGTTGACGGCTCACTGACAGTTCATTAACTATAAGGAATTTTTTTTTTTTTCTCAAAAACCTCAGAGATATTTTATTATTATATTATACCTCATGGGGTCAATGTTTACCATTATTCATATAGATTAAGCGATTTTAAAATAATAATTTATTGTTATGATCATACAATAGTATACAAGTTGAAAGAGGGTTTCAACTTCTTTCCAGTCTATTAGATTATAATAAAATTTTAAGTCAAAAGTTAAGTTATACTTATGTCTGACCTGATTATTTTTGAAATATTATAGAATTTATTATTATTTTAGATGATTGTATTCATGATAGTGCTAAACCTTATGATAAAATAATCATAGTGGATGATTTACTGGAATTTCTTCAAGGGAGGAGGAGGGGCCATGTGAGCAAATGAACCACCATGAATGGTTTACAAATTAAAGCTGATTTGAAATAAATGAGATTTGGCTCAATTAACTTTTTTTCTTTTTGTAACAGAGTGTAACCATGCCAATTTATGGGTACCTCAACTAATTTTCTAAGATCCTGAAATTATCGACCAGATAAAAATTGGAGTGGCTATCTTATTTGCAACTGGTTCAATCAACTTGGCAGGCTGATGTTTAGTTGTCAATTGTCATGCAGAAAAAGAAAATGAGTTTGATGGAATTGGGTAATTACTAATTTCAAAAAAGACTGCGTAAACAGCTGTAGCCACTCATCTAATATTTCCACATTTTCAATGTGTTTATTATTTGTAATATGCCATATGAAAAGTCTTTTATTTTTTTACTTGTGAAAGTCCAAGTTGATTTAGATAAAGTGGGTAAGATTTTTAACATTGATTTTATTCTTTAGAAGGAAATATTAAGAATATTGAAAATAAATTGAAATCAAATATAATATATCTATAAATTATTTTTTAAAAACAATTTTAATTATTATTCTAGAAAGAGATTTATTAGGCTTAAATTACACAACTCTTTACAAAATGATGTAGGCCACTTCGGTAATTCTTTATAAATCTATTTCAAACAAAAATAAAAATAAAAAAATTTTATATATTCATTTTTTTAGAAGCATATTGGAAATTATAAATAATTTTCCAATAATCTTAAAATTATCTCATCTAGTATTATTGTTGGTCATTTATTTTAGAGTTAATTACACAGATCTCCCCTGAGGTTTCAATATTTCACAGGACCAAAAAAAAGTCCATTAGGTTAACACAAACATCCCACCCTTTTAACTTCCATTAGGGTTTTGTTAGGGTTATATCCTTTATAACCCCTCCAACTTACAAAATTGACAGTTGCCCCCTGTAATCAGCCACTTACACCCCTTATTAGCATTTTTTTTTTATTTGTGTTGAAGTTAACTAAGTGAAAGGCAAAATAGACCTTTTATGTTAAAACCCAAAGTTATAAATTAAATATAAAAAAATTATAAAAAACTTTTAAAAATAAAATATACTGAAATTTTAATATTATTTTAAACAATTTACCTTTTTCCAACGATCAAAATCTCCAAAACCACTATTCTTACATCGTAAGAACTAACCACCTCTTTTCAAAATATATATATATATAATATAATATAATATATATAATTTTTTTCACTTTTTATCATTTTAATTTGTAAAATATTTTTGTTTTGACCTTGTAATTATTGATTTAAAAAAAAAAAAAAAAAACTATGTTACAATTTTTAAAAATTGACAGGGTGACAAGTGGCTAATTTAGGGACCAACTTATGAGTTTTTAATGTTGGAGGGGGTCTAGGGAAATAAATTTAATGGAACCCTAACGAAAGTTTAAAACAAAGACTCAATCCAATTAAATTTGTAGCGTCTTGCCATATCCCCCTTCTGTCTTTTGAGATTCGACACTATTTTAAAACTCGGCCAGACCTGACCGGTTTAACCAGGACCCGGGAGCTTCACTGGGTCGGATTAACATTTTCCCTATTCACCCAAAATCCTAGAATTTGGGATGATGACCGAAGAACAATTGAAGGTTGGGATGTTGGGGCTTTTGAAGAGAAAGTGTTGGTGAGTGCAATGATGGCGACAGAGTTGATTTTCAGTGAGTGAATCAATCGAAAATCAAAAAAACATGGCGGTGGCTACTGCCAGCTTTTGCAGGCGATTGGGGAGGCTAACGAGGGTGTGGTCAGGTGGGTTTTGGTCAATAGAAAAAGGGGAGTATTTTCGGGGTGATGGAGAGGTTGTCGACGCTGGCGTTGGCGAGATCTGGCTTGGAATGCTGACGTCGACGTTAGTGAGATCTGCTGGTCGAAATTGAACTGATTTTGGACATATCTTGGATAGATTTTCTGGGGAATGGGCTCAATTGATGATTGTGATTGCATTTGAGATGTCGCTGTTGTCAACCAGTCTCCAGCCGATTTGTATTTAGGGTGTGTTAGTAAATTTTTAACCTATAAGGACTTATCAAATTTTTAAGGTGTATTTACTGAATTTTAAAAGTTGTCACTCGGTTTAACTAGTCAGTCAAACCAGTCAACCTGAGACCCGACAACTTTGTCGGGTTTTAACCTGAGTTGGGTTTTAAAACATTGGTTTAAAGAGTAGAGTGTTTATATTAACCTAATGATCTTTTCTTTGCGCCTGTGACATGTTGAAACCTTAGTGGAGGTCTTTTTTATTTTACTCTTTGTTTTAATTATCGTTAACCTTCACCTAATTATTCCTAACCTACCCTATAGGCTATAGTTATGGCTAACTTTCTATAGATTTTATTCTGGAAATAAAATACTAAAATAGGGAGGTTAGTGGTAATTAAGAAAACCTTAGGGTGACCAGCAATAATTATATTGAAGGTCAAACATATACTCATAATCACATCTAAAAACAAAGTAGCTAAAGTAAGTTATAAATACCCTTGATTAGATATTTACTGCACAGTAGTTATTACTGATTCAGAAACACTGATGACTGATACCGAATCAATTTGTTGACTTAAATGGTTTCTGTCTCCATTCCCAATCAATTCTGTTATAACCTAAGCCTAATAAGCAAATTCGCAACACAAATAACCACACACAAGATTAAAGATCAAAGAATCACACACACAACACAAGACACGATTTTATCGTGGTTCGTCTATCCAATCTTGGATAGACTACGTTCACGTTGAGCTCCGAAATACGGACACTCACAGCACTAAGAAGATATTCAACGATTACAAGAAGGACAAGACTACAAATCTGTCGAAACAGACTAACACCCAACCAAGGCCTAATCACTCAAGAATCTCTCAATAATCTACAAGAAAACAGAGGACAAATACAAGCCTCTGGAAGGAAACGCAACCCTCTCACAATCAACCCAGATTACACCCAGAAAGATTCAGCAGAAAACCAACCCCAGTATTTCCCTCTTTCAAACCCTAATACCCGATTGACAATAAAAACACATTATACGTTTTATCACTGTTGCTCTTCTTTATATATGTCTGCGTTCGTAATCCTCAGCCCTTGGATCTGTCTTGATCTGACGGCTGAGATTCGGTAATGGTCTTAAATAAAACGACCCCGTTTTGGCTTGAATGGACTTAAGTGAAACGGCTCCGTTTTTTGCTTCACAATATTTTCAAATTCAAATCCAAAACAGAATTAAGCTTTAATCTTATTGAAGATTAATAATGGAGTCAACAAGATCTTAAATTTCATTTTAAGAGCTCGGATTTAGTTGAAATATGTGCCCACACTTTGGTTTATGAATCATATCGAACAACCTCAACGCGTAGCAATTGCTTACAAATTACAAAATGACCCGACCAAAGTACAAGCTGCGCGTATTATTATTAATATTCTTTGAATAAAAAGACTCAAAAATTCAACAGATCAGTCCCCACAAATTAATTAAAAGTATTGAAAAGAGAAAAAAACTGACTTGGTTTTTATCCTAAAAAACAAAAAAATCTGACCTCGTTTTGTGATCACTAACTCTGATGGGCACAGCTCTTAAATACTGAAGCTTCTGTTTTTTAGAATTATTAGCTTAGTCAAGTTGAGCATGCTACTTACCAATGAATCAATTAACATTTGAAAATTTCAAAATGAAACCGAAACATGAACATCCACTTGCTATGGTTGCTTTATGTTCCCCTTAAACTCTTAAACAGACTTTACAGAACAGGAATCAGCTACATTTAAAAGACATGTAATGAAAATTGATATCTTTAACCAATTGGTTTGACGGTAAAAAATGTTTGCTCTCTTCTTTAAATTATTGGAGTCACTTTTCATAGTAATATTTTGGTTTACCTGATTCTTTAGGCTTGCAAAGTGTTCAATAGACCCTATGAATTAGTTGAAGTGCACGGAAGCTGGCCCAGACATCCTGATTATCAAAAACCAAAAAAAAAAAAAAAAAAAGATATCTTTATGATCTATCTTAGCTATCTTTGAGGAACTTTTTCCAATCACATTAGAACTAAACAGTGAGAAGAAAAGGGTTTTACAGAAGATAATTTAATGGTTAAATCCCATCATCATAAGGGAATGAAGTGGAATCCAGCCAGTCTTGACCAGTGATGAACTCGGATACTGTGAAATTATATGCATCATAATAGTCCATCACATGAAACCCCGGCCAAGTGACTCGATTTTCAGTTCCTGAACCAGGGCCACAGTTATCGTATTCGCCATAGAACAATGTGTCTAAACCTTGATCGCCAGACCACTCAGTCCACCCAGTCGGGTCGATAAAATCATCAATGTAGGATTCCAGAAACACTGTCCTTGAATACACTCTCCAGGGCCTACCCAAGTAGCTTTTAACAGTGCTGGAATTTGAGTAGAGTTCATCCGTGGCTAAAATTGAACAATTTTGAAATGAAATTCCTGTATCTTCATCTTGGCTGTCTCGAGATTGAGCTGTAATAACTGTGAATTGGCTTGGCATCGGCATTCTAGATACAATGTTTGACGCCTGGAAGACCACTGCGGCATTACCAAATATGTAATCTATGGTACCGTATATGTCACACTCTCGATAAAATTGGCGAAATGAATGCACATATAATGTGTCTTGGTAACTGTAGATGCGACATCTATAAAATGCTGCAAAATCTGCATTTACTCTTAAGGCCACCGCTTGATGCTTCTCCGGTCCGGCACTATTCTCAATTGTTAAGTCGCGGGCTAGAAATGCCTCCCCAGAAACGGCTGAAAGTAAAAGTTTAGAATAAGTTAATGTTATGGTGACAATATCATAAAAATTGAAAAGTTTCTGAAGTTTACCAATAGTTGCAGATCTGAAAGTGGTCCATCCATCAACGACACTTCTGTTACCAGTAATCAAAGTTGAGTCACGATCTTCTCCGAGCAGAACAATATTAGTCTTGTAGCTTGGAATGTCTACATTCTCTACATAAACCCCTTGTTTGATATAGATGATTGTTCGATCATAACTATTATTTGGGGCAAAATTTATGGCCTCAGTGATGGTAGTGAAGTTTCCTGTTCCATCAGCAGCCACCGTTAGTACTTCGTCCGGGTCATATGCGTCGCCGGAGCTCTGCAGAATCCGTCGATCTTTTCTCGACAACCAGCTCGGAAACCCCAAAAGGCGGCGATTTTTGTTGCCCTTCTTATTAGGACCCGGCTTGGAAAGCATTGACAAAGAGTTACTAACATGCTTGTAAGTATTTTCTACAGAGTTCACAAGAACTGGCTTCAATGGACCTGAAGCAGAATCAAGGCCTTCTAAGCAAGTGTTTTCGTTGGTTAAAGCTGCACTGAGATAGGCGTTTGCATCGGCTAGTTTTCTTGGACCGGATGAACGGATTTTCGACACTGATTTTTGTAAAGAATTTAATGTGATTTGGTGAAGTTCTTTGCAGTCTTGGATTGTTCCTCTCTGTTTCTCAACAAGCTTCGAGCCTCCTGCACTGTTAAAAATATTTCCAAGCTTTCCAGCTTCAGATATAGCATTTTGGAGGGTTTGAAGTAAAAATTTGAGGATATCTGGACCGATGTTTATTGATATAGAGAGTTCCAATGAGTCAAAACAGGCATCTGGGTATGGTGTGCTCTTGCAGAAATTTGTTATGGAAGAAAAGTTGGTTTTTAGAGAAGTAGTGGAAGGAGATCTAAGAGCGGATGTGGAAGAGATGAAGATTGTGCAGAGAAGAAAGGACAGTTTCAGAATGGAGAAAGCCATCAGAGCTAATGCAGAAGAAGTAGAAGAATTTGTTTATTTAAAATTGGAGGAGGAGACTCCCGATTCTTTATAATAAAGTTTTTGGGAAATATACGTTGCATATGGAGTTAGTATTTGGATTAATGTATTAAATTAAATTGGATTTTAGTGGCGGTGGTCTTTGAAAAGGAGAAATGACAAATTCACAATGTACTAGAGTGCTAGTTATCTATAAAACTTAATTTTAACATTCCTCATTGTCAGCAAATGAGTTTGCAATTTAGTTTATAAAGTTTAGATTCCCATAACTATATAAGCATTTTGAGTGAAAACGTTTGCGTAAAACCCAAAAACAAATCCGTGCAGAAATGAAGTTTAAAGGGATTTGACATTTTGTGATTAAAAACTGATATAAAGCATTTGTCATGAACTTATTTATATCAATTTTTCTCCGTAGGGAAATTGGAGAAAAAAGAAGTACTCTGCACTCATCTTGCTTGTGGTTGAGAAGGGGGCTGCATTGGATACAAAAAGATGCTATTATCACTCTTTTGACTCTTTTGTTTTTACTCATTTAGGGGCTTATTTATCACAAATTATAGAAGCATATCTTAAAGATAGTTCAAGGCTTCAAGCATCTACCGTAAAAACACAGAAAGTAGAGTATTTATTTAATTTATAAACAAACAAAAGAAAAAGATAATGGCCAATGGGATAGATGGGTTCTGTATGGGGGGCCATTAGTTGTACTATTACTGACTGAACATTTCAATAATACAATCCTTCATTTGTCTGCAAAAACTCTGATAGGTAAAAAAAAGCCAAGAAGCTTTTAGCAAGTTGCAAGCTTATATATACCAAGTTGGCAATGGAAACTTCCAGCATCAAGTTACTAGTCTTCAAAAGAAATGGTCATCATTGTTGGCTGATTGCTACAGTTCATGCCTTAATTGTTACATAAGAAGTTCATTTTTTTTTCTTTTTGCTGGTGATACTGTTTCTTATCGATAAGAAATCAAAAGAAGTAAATTCTGGTGTAGAAATGAAGTCGAAAGGAAGCCAAAAAGAAGAGCAGCTTGACACTTTGTCTTGTGAAAAATCACGAGACTAGTGCATTTCTGCTAAATGTTTTTGTCTCTGGCATCTGCCAAATTCTCACATGTCAGATTCTTATTGAGTTTATTTATTCATTATTGACTTTCTTTTTATCCACAAAACTGTCCTCTGTATCCGACCATGCTTGTGACTATTAATTCTTTTTTATTCGGAACATTATAAGAGAACAAAATTAAGAGATGTTTAAAGCTGAATATTTGGTCATTATTGTTAATCTCTGCAAATCTTTGGTGGTGGTAACAGGCAACTGGTAAACGGCTAGCTCTAATTGCATTCGACCTGAGTGCTGCTGGTACTGAATATACTCACATCCATTTTTGAGAACTCTCAATTTTGATTATTTTATGAAGCAATGAGCATATATAATTATAAGAGATATGACATCTAAAAGGTTTCTCCATTTTAGTGGGGGTGGATGCCGCTACCTCACTTGGCCGGTTGGCCCTATGTGAGTGCATATGTATCTTGCAATAAATAGAGACTAATGGTTGAGAAGACATTGATGTGCTCTCAAAACAATAATCAAGTATTGGAATCTAATTCTAAGCGCAGACTCTTCATTATTTAGCTTCTATACTTTGTCAGATTCAATTAGATTTACATGTTAATAGAGACGTTGCAAAAGAAATGACAACTCAGTTAATTTATGGATAATATATGTGAGCCTGTCATGTCTATTTTGCAAGATATAATTATATGAAAATATCACCTAGTTGACATGGTGAGATCGTTCAATAAAATAATGATATATGTTGTCACATATATGTCAAATTTTCTCTTTCATCTATCTATCATCAAAATTGATCAATAACTACAATCTATAATTCATTAGTAACCACGGTCATAATTGGTGGTTATAAAAATTAACTTTTTATGTCATTTTGCTATTGAACAGTCGCACCATATCAACCAGATAACGTTTTAAAACTGTCATATATAAGTTTCCTGATTTAAGAACTTCCATGTGAAATGAAGCATTTGTGGTTCTTTTGCAGAGATCTTCTAGGGCCCTTGCTTGTCAGTCATGCTCACAGTTAGCCTTCCAAATTAAATGGAGGAAATGTAATCACTAGAATTGCTGATAAAATGGTTACAAGCAAGATGTTAAGGCCATTCTTGCTTCTTCTTCTTTCTTTTTTTTCAATAATTATAACTTTTAGTTATTGGTACTTGTTCAAGGATTGTAGAAGGAGTAGGACCGAGTATAATCTTGGAAATGTCAGCTTCATAAATTTGGAGTTTTGAAAACCATATCATTGATTGATGTTTACTAGTAACGATAGATGGGAAAATTTATGGGCACCACCAGATTCTTTTACTTATGTTCCATTATGAAGTGTTGACTGCAGTGGTGAAGTCATGAGAGGAGTAAAGAGTGTGTTTCCTTTCCTCCTCAATTTTACCAAATGGGGATCATCGTCATCAAGACTGGGTTTGCAATAACTACACAAAAGATATGTTTATTTCATGAATATTTTAATATTAATTTATATGAAAACTTTATAATCTACTATGCTATTATCTAACGAAAGAAAATCTAATTCTTAAGTATCAAGAAGGCAGCTTGTGTTAATTGGCAAAATGCGTTTAGATTTTGTTGACGAAAAAATGAATTAAATATTGGTTTCCATTGTTAGATCCTAATCTGCAAACATGTACACAATCAAGGAGACCCAATTGAAATTTTTAATAATATCTTTGTATAAATTTTCAATCTACCCAACAGTTTGGATATTAATAAATTGCTCTTCCTCCCCGCATATGAACATGGCAACCTGATCATAACTCACGAGATAAATCAGCGGAGTTTTATTTATTTCCTTTTGGTTAATCTACTTCCAACGAACTCTCACATGTTCCACTTCGTATATATGATCATTCTGTGGGCTGTAGCTCTGCCCTCAATTATCCACAGACCAACCTTCTTTCTTCCGGCTGTTTAATTAATTAATTATCTAATCAACAACACCAAAATATATAGAAAAGTCTATACAAGTCCAATAGAACATGTGATTTTCTTAATGAGGATAATAATTAATTAAATTTCAGAAATATAATGAAGAGTAAACTACTTTTTCTCACCCAAATAATGGTTTAAGGACATTTTCTCACCCACAAAATTTTAAAATACCATTTTATTACCCAAATTTATATTCTGTTTTCGATTCCGACATTGTTGTGACCTCACACCACCACCATTATCTTTCCCGATCATCACTCACCAAAAACCCTCAAAACCTATTCCTATCGACCCCGTCAATTGCCAACAATCAAGCGATTAGGGCTTGCGTAGTCGTCCCTCTCAAGTCAAATTTTGATTAATCCCAACCACCAAAACACTCATCAGTCTTCCCTCTTCAAAAACCTCAATAGTTAGGATCAAGTTTGTTCTCTATTCATCGTCAAAATATAAATTTAGATAATACAGTTGCATTTTACAAGTTTGTGGATGAAAAAATGTTATTAAACAATTATTTAGGTGGGTAAAAGTCATTAACTCTATAATGAAAGGGAAAACAAAACCAATTATCAAAGAGTAAACGACTTTTTCCCACCTGAATAATGGCGTAACGACACTCTTCTACCTCAAACTTTTAAAGTACCACTTTTCCGCTTAAGCGTCAAATTCATTTAACAGTTTCCCTTAAAAACAATGATATTCACTATAAAGACAAAAACACCAGATTCTTTTACAACTTTATGGGGCCGTTTGGATCGGGTTAATATTAGATAACTAGGGTAATATTTTTTTAAATTGAGCAGATAATGATGTTTGGTTGGTTTTTAAAAAATTATTCCCAAAATATTTTATGACAAACAGTAGCATTTGGGGGATAAATTTCCAGTAATCTTAATACCTAAGGGGGGGCTGTTATTAAAACTTAACTTGGTATTACAATTTTTTTTCCCATGTTGCCCTTAAATAGTTGAGCATTTGGTCCAAATTAACCTTATATTTGCTAATATATACAAAACACCCAATCACTCATGTAGACATTTTTGTCCTCGCTTTTTAAATTTTTTGGACGACATTGCCCTTGTTATTATCATTATTCACAGAAATGCCTTTATACCCAAAACTAGTCACCATCGTTGATCGCCACAGGAGGTTGCCAAAAGTCGTCATAATGGCATACAACCGGCCGTATATGACCGACCGTGCGTCGGTGAGGCTTTTTCTGACCATGGATCACAGTTCCATGGTCGAAAAAAGCAAGATCTGGCTATTTCACGGCCAAGCATGTGGTCGTGAAACGGCGACAGATCTGGCCATGAAACAGCCAAGTCTTTGGCCGTGAAACGAGCGGCGTTTCATGGCCAAAGACCTGGCCATTTCACGGCCAGATCTGTGGCACTGCCAATAGTGGTGGTTGGCTGCTAGTAGTGGCTTTGGATGGATAGAGGTGTTTTTGTTAAGTTTAAAACGTTTTTTGTTGTTATGGTGTTTTTGCTCAATCTGAAAAGTAGGGGGTTAAAAGAAATTATTCAAAAAATAATAATAAAAAATACTGTTAAATTAATATTTAAAAAGGAAGACAATTTAATAATTTATAGAACATACCCACCCATTTATCCTTCCAACCAAACATATTATTCACCAATATATTCGAACCAACCAAACACATTTTCTAAACATTCTTAGTAATCTTCAAGGCAATCTTTTATTCCGTTAATATAATATCTCTCTATAATAAAACATTATATGATACAAACGCCTCCAATGGGTGGAAAAATTGTCATTAAACACTTATTTGGGTGGGTAAAAGTCGTTAACTCTATAATGAAAGAGAAAACAGAACCAATTATCAAAGAGTAAAGGGCTTTTTCCACCCGAATAATGTTGTAACAACATTTTTCTACCGTCAAGACTTTTAAAATACAACTTTTCCACCTAAACGTCAGATTTCTTTAACAATTTCCGTTAAAAACAGTGGCTGTGTTTGGCTTAATATTTTCATCCATATTCTGAATCCTATTTTCCAAATAATGTTTGGCACATTATTCCAGAAATATTACCCTATTTTTTTAATTACTTTTAAACCCCATAAGGTTATTAATTTCACTAAATATCCCCTAAAAAAAAGTTTAAAAATTAACAAAAAAAAAATCCCATCAACCCAACTTGTCAGATTCCAGCCACCACCGTCGGTAACGGCCTAAGAAGTTCACCGATGTGGCCTTTTCTGGTGGATCTGGCCGGAAAAGGCCAAATCAGGCCGTCAGCGACGGCCAAAGAAATGGCCGTCGTTGACCGAAAATGACGGCCACATCTTTGGCCGTCGCTAACAACCAAAGATGGCCGTCGTTTGGCCTTTTCCGGCCGTCGACTGCCATAACAAACCGTAGATCTGGCCTTTTTCGGCTAGATCCACCATGGATTTGGCCGGAAAAGGCCATAACGACGTGTTACGGCACAAATCCACCGGTTTGTGCTGTAACAAAATTTTCCGGCCAGATTCCGACGGTGGTGGCTGGAATCTGGCACTGCAGGTGTTGGGGGTGTTTTTGACATTTTATATGTTAGGGTCTTTAATTAAATTAGTAAACCTAAAGGCTTTTTCACAAATTTTTAAAATTTACCTCGTAATACTCCCCTATCCAATAACCCAATACTATCTCCAATCCCCTATTCAATAACCCAATACTATCTCCAAAATCCTATCTAAAATACTAAACCAAACAATCTCAGTGATATTCACCATAAAGACAAAAACACCTTTTAACTGTTTGAATTAAAATTTATTTATTATTATATGCCAGGTGAATAGAATCAATTATCCATTCTATCACCGTATCTCCCATCTTCACAAAACCTCCATTAATCAAGCAAATCCACAAATCTCTTTTCTTCTTTCTTCTCCTTCTCTCTTTTCTCCTCGTCCTCTTTCTGAACTCTCTCTCTCCTTTCATTATCAAAACCACCTTTTCTTGGCTCAGCTTCATTGAAGCCACTTCTTCTCTCTGGATCAAAGAGTAGACCAGCGTTGACCCCAGAACTCCTTGCAACTAAAATAGAACTCCGAGCTCCAGAATAACTCATCAAATCACCACCACCTTCTTACGCGAAAAGCCCACCGACCCTAAAGCTACAAAGAGACCTGGACCTTGACATAGTACCCATATAATCAACAACCCATAAATTACTTGTCTCATCACATCCACCAACACTTTTGCCACAATCTTTGTCCTTTTTCTTTCTAAACAACCTTTGTCCGGATCTGGCCAACCACCAATCTTTAAGACATCATGCCATCATCATCATCATACTCATAGAATTAAGATCATTTCATCTTAATCTTTTTTTTTCCCGCATAGTAGAGAAAACCAAAAACAAAAACATCTATTAACAAATACCACCATCAGGGACATAAAGCGGTGCACTGCAAACCCAAACCCACCGCGAGGGCCGAACAACCATGGAGAGAAGGAGAGAAGAAAAAAGAAAGGAAGAAAAATAAGAAGAGAAGAAAGAAAGGAAGGAGTTGACGGGAAAGAAATGTAGGTTCAAAACAGACAGAAAAAGTGAAAGAAAGGAAGAAAATAGTGGAAAACAAAAAAGAATAATGTGAGGGGGGGAAAATTTGTCCTTTTTAGTAAAAATTGAAAGATCAAAATTAACTTTTAATTTAAATTGTAAAGGATATTTTTGTCACAATGCTGCCCCCATTTATACTACTTTTTTTGCAACATTAATTACTAAGAGATTTATGTTTGGTAATAAACTGGCATTTTAAGGTGAAATTTTTCGGGTGGGAAAAAGTCACTTACTCATTATCAAATTACAAAAAACAACTAATACCATGCGATTAACATAATAAAAGTTCTTGTATGCTACTTGAAAGAAGCAACAAAGTCAAATCTTCGCTACCTCGAAAAAATAAAAGGATCAATTAATAGGTTCTGTGCATAAAAATACACTTGATACTTATCACCAGCTAAACAAATCATATTTTCTTCAACAAAAAAATGAGGGTAAATTAATAGAACTTACAGTAATTCCAGGGCCAGCTACTACTTCACACTATTTTTAGTTAAAATATATATAAAGAAAATGTTACATTTCTTCTCACACGGCCAAACCTGCTGTGTATTTAACACCAGTTGATGGCAACCACAAGTTTCCTTCAAGAAATTGCGCCACCGTAAAATTATAGGCTTCACTAGTGCTATTCAAAACATGATAGCCAGGCCACTTAACTCTGTTAGACAGCCCAGCCCCCGGCCCATAATTCATATACTCCGCATAATACAATGTATCCAAAGCAAAATCATTGTTCATCTCCAGCCATCCTTCTGGCTTTATAATATTGCTTATGTAATTTTGCATGAATATGGTTCTTGAATACAGCTTCCAGGGTCTGCCGAGGTACGTTCCTGTGGAATTCACGAACGGTAAGAGGTCTGAATCGGCTGTGATGTTGCAGAATTGGATGGAGAAGCCTGTTGGTTGATTGGGGTCCTTGCGGCCTTGTGCGGTTATGGTGTTCTTTTGATTTGGCAGGCCTCTTTTCGCCAGGATTTGGCAGTTTTGGAACACCACAGTGCCGTCCCCAAAAATGAAATCAACTGTGCCACTGATCTTGCATTCGCGGAAGAATTGCCGCATTGTGTGCGTGTAGAGGGAGTCTTGGTAGCCTTTAATTTCGCAGCGAAAATATACAGATAGATCGGAGTCTGATCGTAGTGCAACAGCTTGGTGCTTCTCTGGTCCTGCTGTGTTCTCAAATGTTATGTCACGCGCTATGAATCCTCTTCCACTTACAGCTGCAGGTTTCATAAACAAAAATTAATCATTTACAGGGCTCGTAACAATTCAATATCCCCTTAGTTTTAACTAAAGAGCCAGTATGATTTTTGAAGTTCAAACTGCTTCTGCATCAGTCTTTAAATGTGTGCCACTGCCAGAAGCAGAATTCTGTATTATGGGAAGCAATAATTAATTTGAAAGGATAACAATAATAACTGGCTCAACTATTTTATTTATTTCCACATGGGAAAAACCAAGACCGGTTCTAATTGCTATTTTGACAAAAATATATTTAACAAAAGCTTAACTTGGTAAACATTAACTTAAGTTTTCTTAATTAATTCCTGGGGACGAGGAGGGCTTAAAAGTGGTACTAATAATTAAATTTTGACAATAATCTTTGAGCTAATTAGATGAGAGGTCACATTCACAATAGGCTTTGCCAGCCAGCCAGCGCAGTACTACTAGGGTATAGGTAAAAGGTTCCCCATTAAAGCCTAACATTAAATTAAATTCATAATATGGTTGATGACTATCTTTACTTTAACAAATTTATCAAAAGTATAAATGTGGTCCTTGTACATATATGATATATCCACTTCAAGCTAGCATCTCATCTCATGCATTACCCTTTGTCTTCAAGAATATTATATAGCTTCATTTATACTCCATTGGCCCCAACCCCTTTTACCAATAATGTTTAATATAAAACCCTTCTTCCTAATCCATAAAAATAGAAATCACTATGCCTTAAAATTAAGCCAAACTATACGAATTAAGCCCAATAAATAGAGTTACTTACCGAAGGTGGCACTCCTGAAGGTGGTCCAGCCATCAATAAAACTTCTATTCCCAGAAATAATTGTAGCGTTAATTCCATCTCCAACCATCATAAGGTTCCATTTCTTTTTCTTGATCTCCACATACTCTTTATATAAGCCACTTTTAATATAAATTACATATTTTTTCATACCGTAGTCTGGCGCTGCCAACACTGCATCCATTATGCTACTATAATTTCCAGTCCCATCTGCTGCTACTATGGCATCAGCTTGAACCCCATTTACCAGCAATAATTTCCTGTCCTCACGTTTAAACCAGTAGGGAAATTGGTTGTTTTCTGTGAACTTCCGCCCTGATTTACCACCACCTTTGCCCCCGCCGCCGCCACCTTTACCTTTGCCTCCGTTCTGGCTACTCCCATTGGACTTTAAACTAGAGACAGGATGCACCATTGTTAGAAGTTCCTGAACCAATGAAGAGATTTGTTCAAGGCCTCCTTCCACCACGCCTTTGACGATGCCATTTGTGCCTTCAAATCCTTCAATGCATGTCTCCTGATTAGCGAGTGCAGCACTTAACCATGTTCTCAAATCTGAACTTAGATCACCGCTACTGTTATGTTTGCCTGTAATTGAACATTAATTTTTGTTATCTAGTATGAACGTCTACGTCATAAGAAAGTGTAGACCTTCTTTGTTAAGTTAGTTAAAGTTGGCTGATAGTAAAGCAACAATCACTTTGCATTACTCTTTACACTCTTTCAACGTTGCATCAAAGAATGAAAGAAATCCTTAAGACATAAGATATTGCATTTCAAGTTCAGTTGTGGGAAAAATCATCCATAATGTAAAAAATAATTGTTTGACAATAAAAGCAGAGGTCCCCTGCATCTTAGTATTGGAGACAAAGTACATTCAAGCAATTAATGGAAATGTGGGAAAGAAGATGAATAGTTATTGAAAGACGGCCAGCGGGACTTGTCGAAATCTAGTTACGAAGATTGCTTCAAAGATAATATTAAATATACTAAGATTATTGCAATCAGCAATACCATTCTAGTACTCATTCATATATCTATAGCAGAAAGATATGTTACCATTAGGATTTTGAGAAGCAGAGGCAGACCATTCCAACTCATCAATGGAAAAATCAAGCAAATCAAGACAATCCGATACAGCATTTTTAAGGCGAAAATCTCCAAACAAATTAGCAAACTGGGAAATGATAGGAGTGGAGTGGTGTATAACGGCAATGGCGGTCTGCAAAGAGCTGACGAATGTGGAAGTGGGAACCTTTAAGCACGCAAAGGGCAAGTCGTTTGAGTCAGAGCTAACACATGAAGCAGCAGTGAGAAAGAGAAGCAGGAATATAATGAGTTTGAAGAACTGCATGTTTGAGGGAATAAAAGAAAAGAATGAGATAGTGAAAAGAGAAAGAAATGAAACTAAAGGAAGAGGGTCATGAGGAAGAAGGAGGTTTAGTGTATTTAAGGAGAAAGTGGGGGGGAGTTGAGTTTGGCAGGTGAGGGAATTAAAGAAGAGGGCGACTACATGAGTGATTAAATAGTAAGTTTAATATTGCTTTTATTTTTATGATTATCACGTGTCGGCGCTCATCAATGGCTCAGGACTCCTTTTCTTCAATTCTAGATCAGGGGAATTCAAACAACAGGGGCATCTCGATTTCGTGAATAATTAATCTTATGTTTTTAAAGTAAGAGATATGATAAAAATTATGCAACAATTTCTGCTTTTTTTTTTTTTTTTTTAAACCATGTGTATCCGGATTAGTTTACACGTACTTCAATTAATTTTTTGATACCTTAAAACTATTGGTAGAATAAAAACTCTAGTAACTATCTCTATTAGCAACCGAAGAGAAACTCGAACTCAAGACGTTCAAGAGATTTCTATCAAACCACTCAATCACTTAGAGGTAGTTAAATTTATCTCAAATATGTCAATAGTTACAATTTTATGATAAAAATCTTGATTTGAAGTTAAAGTTTTATTTTATAAGTGTAGAAAGGGAAGATGAAAAGAATAAGAAGAATTTTGAATTTAAATAAACTTGTAATAGATAAGCTTAGAAACAAAATTTTGTATGAACTTCATGGGGTTAGTATAATAGTCAAATAAATTTGCTCTCTTTTTCTAGTTTCTAGGTTCAAACCATGCCTTAACTCATCCCATAAAAGAAAAAAAAAAAAAAATTAATTACATATAGTGGTCCTACCAATTTGCCAAAACTGTGTAATGTACTAATGTCTATGGGTTTGTGCGATAGTCCTCGCTTTCATTTCAATTGGAAAAACAGGTCCAGGAATCAAAAACCACTTTTTGAAAACTTTCACTTCTCGCGTTACAGCAGCAGAGAAGGAATCAAACGCCACTTTTTGAACACGCTTGTTCTTGTTCTTCGGAATCCCAATTTCAGGCTTCAGCTACAAGTTTAACAATTATTGAGGGGACCCTCTACATGTTCTCGATGCCGTTTTAATGAAGTCTATGTGATTGTGTTCTGTTACCAACCATTTTCTCTCCCTATCAATTCAACTCCAGTCATCGTAAATTACTCATAGATTTCAGCACACTGTGAAACTTCTAACTAACCCTTTTCGCCAAATAACTTAGAACACAGTCTTTTTTTTTTTTTTTTAAGTAAAATTTGACCACAACGTTACAAATTCATCATGGGAAATTGTAATGGGATGCACCCTTCTGCGAGTTTTCAGTTTTGTCTTGAGTTTGATTATTTGAACATAGAATTCCTATATGAAGAAAGGATAGAAAATTGCTGTGAAATCTGTTTTTTTTTTAACTTTTTGGTCATAATCAAGGGATGGGTCTACGTATGAATAATCAAGGGAAAAAACGTTTTCATTAGCTGGAATTTTGACTTGTCTCTACGCATTTTCCACGCGAAAAGGATAACATCATCAAATTGGGTTTTGTAATTTGTTCTTAGATTTCACAAACTCTTTTTGTAGAAGTTTCAAATACATGCATTTGCAAAGAATTCTAATCAACTGGAGCACAATCGAATAATTTTAAATCCACAAATCCCTCGACTTTAAAACTTGAAGCCCTACCAAGCTCTGCATAAATTATTTACGTTACATTCAAACATAAATTATTTATTTTTTCCAAAAAGAAAAACCCAAATCAAGGAAGAATAAAAAAAAGTGATGTTTATTTAATTGTTTCTTTCTAAAAACAAGATACTGGAGAGTGGAGATGTTGCAAGCTTATATAAAAAAAAAAAAAGAAAAAAAAAAGGCATCAATGGGATCTTTTTCAAAAGAGTTAAAAGCTAAAGAGACGGTAGACTTTAAAGTTGGGGGCCGGGACTGAGAAAACGCGTTTTTACAGCTTGATTATTGCCAATAGTCGTAATCTTTAAGAAACCGAGATTAAGAAATTTGACACTTTCAAATCCACATATATTATACAATTGGCGGTCCATCACGTGTACATGCCAGAGCCGATGTGTATGTGTGGGCACTCACACTCGAGTAGTTTCATTCCTCTTCTCTTCAATTATTCCATTGCTTACTTCATCCGTAATCTTTCTACAAATATACACGATTTCACATTTTAAATTATTACTAAAATACAAACACCTTGACTGTGATTAAAAGCTATGTATTAACTCCAATTTTTTCACTTCAATTATGATTTTAATTATTATATCGTCAATATAATATTTATTATGATTTAACCCTTATGCTGTATTTCGTTAAGGAAATATTTTATTATTAAAAGGGCACGTTTGTTTGGAGAAATTTTTTATCACTGAAAACATATGATTACTACTTAGATAAATTATCTTAAAAATTAATAAGAGAATATTATACTAATATATTTAGTTAGATTAGTAAATATAAATAATCAATATGTTTAGTTGGGAGAAATAAAATATTATCAAAAGGTTTTTACTAAATTGCCTTTTCTTGTTAATATTATTATTTAGAACATTATTTTTAATCCTCTATATTTGAGAATTTAACTAAAACATCCTAACAATAAAAGTTTAAAATTTAACAAAATACACCTAACCACCCAAGATGATTATCGGCTATCAGCCATCAACGCCAACCGTTGTCGATAGTCATCGAAATAGCGCACAATTGACTGGATTTGGCTGATCGTGCGATGATCTAGCCAAAAGGCTGAAAACGGTCAGATAGCCATGTATCTGGCTAGAAAGCCAAATCTATTCTGGCCATTAACGGCAATATCTGTGGTCATTAACGGTGGTGGATCTGGCCGAAATGACCAGATTTGTGGCTATTTATAGCCATGGATCTCATTTTTTTTCCAACTAGATCCACAACCATCTGTCTATTTTGGCCTTCGATCTGGCCAAAAACGGCTAGATCGACGCACAGCTGGCAAGATCCAACCAGTCGTGTATCATTCTGATGACTGCCAGCGACGACCGGCGGTGGTGGCCAATGGCAAGCAATTGTCTTAGGTGGCTGTGGGTATTTTGGGTATTATCAATGTAAATAGTGAGGGTATTTCTGTCTAAAATGATAATATATGAGGCTAAAGAAGTCATCTGGCACATTTGGACTAATTGTTATTTAGTAGACATATGAGGGCATTTGTGTCCAAATTTTTTATTAATCTTTTATTACTTGACACCTAAACATAGTAATTTCTGAAAAATAAGATAGATTACCAGTGTTATCTTCTATGCCCCCGAAATAAACACACATGAAATGTTATATTAATGGAAAGATATATTATTTTGAAGATTACTATGAATTTTTAGGGAAATGTATTTGATTTATTGGAATAAATTAGTGGGTATGTTATATTAATATGTTTGGCTGTAAAGAATAAATTAGTAGGTATATTATATAATTTACTAAATTGTCCTCATTTTTAAATATTAATATACTGTAATATTATTGTTTTTGAATAATTTCATTTAACCCCCTAGGTTTGAGATATTGTTACAATACCCTTGTAACCAAAAAAGTTTAAAACTTAACAAAAACACCATCATCCACCCCAAGCCATTGACAGACTCCTCCCACCACCGTCGACGGCGGTGGTAGTGGCCAGAATGATGCACGATCAACCCAATCTGGCTGGCTGTGCACCGATCTAGCTATTTCTGACTAGATATATCGAAAATGGCTAGAGATCTGGCCGTCATTAACGACTAGAAGTCGTAGATATGGTCGAAAACGGCCAAATCGGTGCACGATCGGTCAGATCTAACCGATCATGTGTCGTTCTAACGTTGGCAGCCAACGGTGGTGGCCATATCCAACCACCACCCTTGGGTAATTTTTTTAAAGTCTAGGGGTACTTATGTCCTAAATTTTTTTGTATATAGGGATAAAATAGTCCATTAGTACTTTTGTAAATTATTTTTAAAACAAGGGTATTATTGTCTAAAAATTTTAATAATTAGAGATAAAATTGTAACAAAAATAAGATTACTAAGTAATTTTAAAATACCTAAGAAAATTGAAGTAACTAAATTACCTCTTATATCATCAACAGTAATTGTTATTAGTTTTGAAAGATTATCAGAATTTTATATTACTTGATAACTAAAAGTGGTAATCAAATAATATAAGATGATATTATCTTAATAATTGGAGATTACCTCCACCAAACACACTCTTAATTAAATCCCGGATAGATATATAAAATGTGGAAAAATAATATCGGAGAGAGTTTATAAATAAAAAATATCATAATTATTAAGATGAGTTGACACAAATATAATAAGTGAATAGTTGAATGGAGGTTCATGAGTTTTTTGTTGGATCATTAATAAAGGTTGTTAAGCAATTAGTCAAGTACACTGGGTCCAACTGAACCCACTTAACTTTAAAAAAAAAAAAAAAAAAAAAAAAATTTATATATTATAGAATTTACAATTTTAACCACACAGAAACTTAAATTAATTAACATTTTTTTACTTTTTCTCCATTTTCCATTTTCCATTTCCTCTCATTCTCTTTCATACTTTCTTCTTTCTTAGGTTAAATTACGAGAAAAGTTATTCTTTTGAAGGTTACAAGATAAAATAATATTTTTTTTCTTAATTGATAAAAAATCATGAATAGATTTTTGCTGACTTTAATAAATGAATTTGAAATTAGAAAATTGAATTTTAGATTTTGAAAAGCCTAAGTTACAAGATTTGGGATTTCAGTATATATTTTATTGTAAATTTATTAATTTAGATGTTTTGAATCCATTCACTCAAAATTCTGACTACGTCCCTAAAGATGGTCATTAAAGCTATCATTTGATTGATAGTTTAAAAATTCTAAAAGATTAATTAAGATGTACAGAAAGTGATCTAAATAGTTAATAATAAAAAGAATAGTTGAATGGAGTTGACTGCAAAATGAACCGACACTTGACGCTGGCGAAGAAAAATTGGCCCTTGTTTCTAGAAGTAATTTCATTTTAGTATAATTTTTCTTCACCATCATTGTCATCATCAAATATCAACAGAGAGCCAGGATATGATCTCATAAATCACAATTCATCCCTCACAATTTCAATTTGTGGTCCAATCAGATTCCAACTTATACTTTTAGGGATATATATGTTAAAAATTGNGAAATTCAAACAAGAGAGGTAAGAAAATTCGAAAAGACAAATTTATTTATTTTTTTTTTTTTGTAACTATCTAACTTTAGTAAATGTCCTCTCCATACCAATTAGATTATTTTTTTTTTTTTTATTATGACCGAGGTGTCCAGGCTAGTTTATACGCAAGATTAACTCATCCATGAGATCTAATCCCTAGAACTCATTGAATACCCTACAAACTTAATTTTCCAAGGTAAGTCACAAATGTGGTAGGTGATCCTAAGGTTTGAACCCAGAAAGTTAATGAATGGATTACTTCTTGACCGTCAGGCCAACTTTGAGTTCATACCAATTAGATTAGCATGTTATATCTCTTGTGTTTGGTTCAGTGAATGTTGGATTACTAGAAATGTTAGATTACTAGAAAGTTAGATTACTTTGAAAATTACTGGGAATCTTTAGGAAAATGTGCTTGGTTAGTTAGAATAAATTAGTGTGTATATTATTTAAATTACTAAATTACCCTCTTTTTAAATATTAATATAATATTATTTTTATTATAAATTTTTGAATCATTTCTTTTAACCCCCAATATTTCAGATTTAGCTAAAACACCCCCGCTTATATAAAACTTTAATTTATAACAAAATCACCTCCACCACCCCCAAGCCATTGCCTGCCACCGCCATACACCGTCGGAAGTCGCCTGGAGTCGCCGTGAGTAATTGAGACACCGGGAGGCTTCGATATAGTCGTTTCTGGCCATATTGATGGCTGAAAATGCCATATCAGAGTAGATTTGGCCAGAATAGATCTAGCCATTTTCGGCCATTAATGTAGCCAGAAATAGCCATATCAGAGCCTCTCGGTGACGGTGGGCTACTCACAATGATTTCCAACTTCTTTCAGTGACTCCCAGCGGCGACCGACGGTGTTTGGCTGGCGGCAGGTTGGTGGGGGTGGTGGCTTGGGTGGGCCACAATTTGTTTTGAATTCAAGGGTAATTTTGTCCTAAAAGTTAATTAATTGGGGTGAAATAGTAAAAGCCAGATTCATGTAAATTAATTTTAAAATAAGGGTATTATTGTCCTAAAATTTTATTAATGAAGGATAAAATTGTAACAAAAATAAGATTACCTTGGTAATCTTATGATATCTAAGAAAATTGAGGTTATTATATTAGCTCCAATAGTAACTACTATTGGTATTGGAAGATTACTGAAATCTTATATTATTTGACAACCAAACTTAGTAATCAAGTAATAGAAGATGATATAATCTCAGTAATCTTATATAACCCCCAACCAAATACCCCTTTTAGGTTTTACGGAAAAATATATCTTATTAAAAAATTTAAAAAAAAAAATTCTCATTGTATTTATTTACTCTGTTTCTTATTTTCCTTCTAATTTACTTGGTAAATTGACGTCACTCGTCTAAAAGTAGAACCAATTTTTTTCTCGGGTAATGCTATGGGTAGGGTACTAACGAATTTTACTAACCAGTGTACTAACTTAAATTATAGTACGGGTACCATACGCATAATACGGATACTATGTGTTATTTTAACAAAGGTTAGTACACTGATTAATAAAATCCGTTAGTACGTAAAGTATTATTCTTTTTTTCTCCACCAAACACATTCTTCTCTTCTCTCTCTCAAGGTGTTTCTTGAGAGAGAGAGAGAGACAAAAAAAAAAAAAAAACTAACTTCCATAGATGTCCTACATGTTTGTCTTAATTTTTAAGTAATCTTGGGTCACATTGAACATCCTAAAATTTCAAAAGATTAGGTAAACAATGTTATTATGATAGGTGATCATAAGGTTTGAACCCAGAAATGAAAGATTATATACACACAATATTGGAAATGATTAGTAAAACCATCCTGGGAAGGAAACAAACCTGGTGTCTTTCAAGAAATAAAATCCTCATTAGATAGTCACTTTTCTTGAATTAAACTAGTAATAACCTTTAATAAATCAATAAATTAATTATTCAAACAAGCCGAGGTGAACAGGAACACCTGTCTTGGTGATCCAATCTCCCGGGAAGAAACTTCCTACTGTATACTTAGCAGCCTCGTCCTTCTCAATCACCTTGAAACCCGGCCACTTCACCCTGGAATCCGTATTCGCATTGCCTCCTTTGTTCTTATACTCTGCAAAATACAAAGTCTTGATTCCAAAATCTCCCTTGAATGCCACCCACCCTTCAGGGTCAATGAAATCACCGATTGTTGATTCCATTACGACGCTTCTAGAGTACTCCTTGCAGGGCCTGCCGAGGTAACTCTTGACATTGTTTTTGACAGATTGAAGCGATTCGTGAGGCTCAATGCGACAGTTTTGTAGCACAAATCCTGTGGTTTCAAAATTGTCTAGCCTTGCCTGAGCTAGAATTGAATTTTGTTGACCGTCCAAGGGTTTTCGAACCGTTATCAGGGTGTTCTGGAAGATTGCCATTGCGTCACCGAAGATGATATCAATGGTGCCAAGAACCACATTGTTTCTGTAGAACTGGCGGTGAGTTTGTGCCCAAAGTGTGTTTTGATACCCCTCAAAACGGCAGTTGACAAAAATTGAACGGTCAGATTGGACTCGAGCAGCCACCGCCTGACGCTTTTCCGGACCCGCATTGTTCCAGAATCCCATTGATTTAGCCAAAAACTCTTCTCCTATAACCACTGCAAAACAAATAACAAAGGTAAAATCCCTGCAATTAGCAATTTAAAGCTATTGTGCAGATTGCCGCAAATATTGTGTTGTGTCACATACAAAGGGTCCATAAAACTAAAAGTTGCAAAATGTTTTTAAGTGACAAACGTACCAAGAGTTGCAGTATCATACATATTAACTCCGTCGGCAACATTTTTTATCCCATTGATGATGGATTTTTGAGATCCATCTCCCATGATGGTAACTTTTGTCATTTCCTGGGTAATAGTCACAGTTTCCTCATAAATTCCTTCTTTAACATAGATGACATACCTGCATTGCATTAGAGTGGATGAAACATTAAAAACAACATTGTAAAACTTTATATAAGATCAATAGGATTAAACTCTGAAGGACTATACCTGTCATTGCGTTGTTTTGGCATTGCTTCCAATGCAGCAGAAAGTGATTTAAAGTTGCCGCTTCCATCTTTCGCCACGGTGGCATGTGGTTTAATTTCCTTATCATTCTCAGAACTCTCTAATATTCTCCTATCTTCATAGCTAATCCAAGAAGGAAGTCCATCGCTGTCCAATGAATGAGGGATGGATTCGAGAAGGCGGCGAGATGTTCCTATTGTGTGCCTCAATGTCGAAAGGTAACTCGAAAATTTTTGGATGATTGCAAGGGAATTGCTGGTGTGTTGCTTTGTAATATTCATGTTCTTCTCCATTTGAGACCTTAAATCCCCTTCAGGAAAAGCATCAACACATGTCTGTTGGTAAGACATAACTGCACTTAGCCAATTATTCAAATCAGCAGATTTTTCATTGAGGTTCTCTAGCAGATTTTTGGGGTCAGCTTCAGAAATAGCTTTCTTCAAGTCTTCTTTAGCATCATCTAATACTTTCTTACAAACATTCAACGCGGCTTTCTCTTCTTTGGTTTTCAGATCGGATCCTTTCGCCTTGTTGAAGGCCTTTTCTACCTCATCATTAATGGCTGTTATAGCAACTTCGATAAATTTATGGGGTTGATTCAAGGAACTATTCTTCTTTGCTGCATCCGAGAGGGTGTCATTGCAAGAGGTCTGGTAGTTGGTACCATTACATATAGTTTTAATCAATTTTTGAGCCCGTGCAAAATCTTTAAGGGATGATTCTCCTGATGAAAGGGGACCTCGGCCTTTTTTATCAAGATTGATAATGGCAAAAATCGCAAAAACAATTAAAACAAGTAAGACAAAGGCAACAATGGCGGCGATGGTAACTCTCTTTCTAAATTTGCGTTGTCTTTCAACCCTTCTGCGCTCTGATAGTTGGTCAAAATCTTGAAATACCATTCTGATACGGCCTGAGGCAGAGATGTCTCTGCCTTACATTCAACCCAAGAAGGCTGAGAAAGAAAGAGAAAGAGTGATAATGTTAAAAAAAAAAAAAAAAGAAAAAAAATTCTATGATTTTGAGATTTCACAGAAGCAGAAATGGACAGGAGAATTTTCAGGTACTGTAATTAAAATTCGGTTAGGGAGATTTGCAAAATGGGTGATACAGAATGGTGCCCCTAAAAATCGTTTTTCCCTCGTTTAATTGGCTTCAAAATGTGGGAAATTACTGTTGTAAACATAACATAAATCTATAAATGAGAAAGTATAATTAGTATTGAAAGAGCTTGTCAAGTGAATTAGTATGGGGAAAGATGGGCAAGCCGTATTTCTTGGTGTGGTTATGACTTATAGTTAATATTTGTTATTTTAAGTCTATGTTAACATTCAAGAATGTGAAGCTGTGGCATGTCAAAAATGAAATTACAATAACATTTTTTTAAATTTTTTTGTTCATGATTGAAACCAATATTACTGAATTTTGTCAGAGTTGGAGTGGACTTCGTTTTGTAATCGAGTCCAACAAAGGGGTCATCCAGATTATAATAAGATTTGGAGTATTAATGTATAAAAACCAATAAATGAGGCGCTAAAGTAAAATTTATTGTTTAAGAGTAAACAAACAAACAAACAAACAAACAAAAAAGCTTAAATAATTTTTGGGTTGAAGATAGGTGCCCTAGGTCAGGGATGTAAACAAAAATGGAATGTAAGGGGTCAAAGTTTGAAAAACAATACAATTTTAAATTAAAATAAGCACAAGTTTTATATATATAAAATTCTCATTAACTAATATATTTATAATTGTCTTTGACAAGATTTTATCTTTTGAAAGTATTGTATACTTTAGGGATTTCATCTTTTCCATTAAAAAAAAAAAAAAAACACACAAAATCCACCAATACATGTTAGTAGTCCCAAGGCCAACTCCAAAATAACTTTAAAAAAATATCTTTTTACTTCCTCTAACTTTAATATATGATCACAAATAAAAAAAAGGGTACGATTTGTGGTCTCAATGACAATCTAATTTTTTTTTTTTTTTTTTTTTGAGTAAGTAAGAACAATTTCATCTTCCTAAATCATAATCTATAATTTAAACTTAAACTTTCAAAATAAAAAATACAAATAAAAAATGTATTATTATTATCTGACAAATTGAAGAAAAAAGGAGCTTGCCAGCTCGAGAGGCAGGAGAAAACTACATTTGTGTGGATAAAGAATTAGAAATTAGGAAAAAGTTTGAAACCTAAGTTGTTGAATCAGTTATGGGCAATAGAGAAAGAACGGGTCTAGGAAGTAGAGAAAAAGGGTTTAGTCTTGACATCCTAAAAAGAAAAATGAGAATTTAACTTATTTGATGAATTTAGTTTTTTTGCATTTTACTTTTCATTTAGGGACAAATTACAAAACTTGTCAAAAAAATTAAAAATTAAAGCCTTGATCCCCCTCCCTTCGTCCTTGCCTGAGGTATGATATAATAATAAAATTCCCTTAGGAGGGTCCGCTTAGGAGTTTCATAGTAGCGGTTATGAAGGTAAACTATCGGAGCGATTTTGAGAAGTTTTTAGTAGCGGTTTTTAAAACACCTAACTTGTGCTTGGGAGTTTATTTTTTAGCGGTTCTGACAGTTTTTTAAAATGATAAATTTACATATATGCTCATAAAAATACCCAACTTCAACCAATACTTGGGAGTTTTGTTTTTTCAATTACAAGGTAAGATTTCTTTATTTTGTTTTTTTACTTATTAGTATTTTATAACTTCAAATATGATAAAGTCTCTCTATCCTTCTTCGCCATTCTTTGCAGCATCTAGAATGATTGAAAAATTGTAACTCCAATTCTCCAAGAAAGCATCTAGAAATGGGATTTTGATAATTTTTTTTCTTTTTTATAATTGTTTAAAATTATTTTATATTTAATATGGTTGGAGACGCGCATAATATGATTAAAAAAAAATTTAGATACAATTGGGATAGTTTTGTAGTAGATAGGTATTTATGGAATAAAATTTTAAAACCAACTAAAACACCCCGATTTGGGGTGTTTTATAAACCCCTCAAAAATACACTACACTAGTTTTGAGGGGTTTTTGAGCCAATTAAAACCAATGCAAAAAAAATTTGGCAAGTAATGGTTTTAGAACACCTCAAAACCAATCTGATTAAAAACCCTTTAAAACCAGCGGAAAAAAAAACTCCTAAGCAGACCCTTAAGGTTTCTAAAATAACTCTGACAGTAATGAAGTGTTAAAATTTACTTTTTTATGAGTTAATTAATATTATCAAATTGCTGTATTATTGATTTTTTAACATCTAAAACTTAACAGTAGAGAGTTTTCTGTCATTGTAAAACCTTAGGAAAATTTGTAATTTTATCATACCTTATGGGGATTAATGTTATAAATTAACCAGATCATTTTTAAATTTTTTTGGCTTGGGCCAGGCCCCAGCCACTGTATAAACCGCTTATGGGCCAATTTGATTTAATAGATATACAGTATGGTGTGTCTTATGGACATAAACATAGCATTTGGTTCGAGGTCATAAAAGATAACACCGGTAATCTATCTTTTAATTCGATAACTACCATATTTGGATGTCAAGTAACTAAAGATTCTAGTAATCGATCAATACCAATAGTGATTACTATAGGTAATATAAAGGGTAATTCGATTACTATCTGAAAGGGTGCTATTTTTTATTACCGAGGTAATCCAATGTTTATACCAATTTTATCCTTAATTTATAAACATTGTGGACACAAATGCTCTCTTATATCTACTAAATAACAATTAGCCCAAATATGCGAAATGACTTCCGTAACCTCATATATTAATTTTTTGGATAGAAATACATTCACTATTTAGATGAATAATACCCAAAATACCCTCAATCACCCAAGACGACTGCTGGCCATCGACCACCATTGTCGACTGTCTCTGGTAGTCGTCTAAACAATGCATGATCGGTTGGATCTGGCCAGCAATGCGTCGATCTGGCCATAGATTGGCCAAAGCCATTTCTAGCCATATCCACAATCATTAGCAGCCATAGATCTAGCCGGTAATGGCCAGATCCGGCCAATCGTGCATCGTTTCATTGACTGTCGATAGCGGCTAGTGGTGGTGACTATCGGCTGACAATCGTCTTGGATGGTTGGGGGTATTTTGTTAGGTTTTAATTTTTTGTTGCTAGACTGTTTTTAGCTAAATTCTCAAATATAGGGGGTCAAAAAATATTCTAAATAATAATAATAATATTAAAAAGGAAGGGTAATTTAGTAAAAACCCCTCCAATAATATTTTATTCCTTCCAACCAAATATATTAATTATTTATAATCAACAATCTAACCAAACATATTAATATAATATTCTTTATTAATCTTCAAGGTAATTTATCTCAGTGATAATCCTATCTTTTCAGTGATAAAAAATTCCCCAGACCAAATAGTACGAAAGGGTTATTATTTAATCCCATGAGGTATGATAAAATAACATCCCCTTGAAGTTTCAAAAATAACAAAAATTTCCTAATCATTAAGTTTTAGACGTTAAAATAAATAGTAAGAGAGCAATTTGATAACATTTGCTAACTCATAGCAGAGTAAATGTTGACAGCTCACTAACAGTTCATTAACTATAAGGAATTTTTTTTTTTTTTCAAAAACCTCATAGATATTTTATTATTATATTCAATAATACTAACCTCACTAATCCCTCTTACTGACCCTATGTGGGAGTTTGTGATTGGTTTGGTTAGGCAGGACCCATGTGAATTGACGAATTATGAACTGACATGTGCCGTTAGTGAGAGAAAGTTAGTGAGAAGTGTTAGTGAGTTTAGTGTTACTCTATTATATTATACCTCATGGGGTCGATGTTTACCATTATTTATATGGATTAAGCGATTTTAAAATAATAATTTATTGTTATGATCATACAATAGTATACAAGTTGAAAGAGGGCTTCAACTTCTTTCCAGTCTATTAGATTATAATAAAATTTTAAGTCAGAAGTTAAGTTATACTTATGTCTGACCTAATTATTTTTGAAATATTATAGAATTTATTATTATTTTAGATGATTGTATTCATGATAGAGCTAAACCTTATGATAAAATAATCATGGTGGATGATTTACTGGAATTTCTTCAAGGGAGGAGGAGGGGCCATGTGAGCAAATGAACCACCATGAATGGTTTACAAATTAAAGCCGATTTGAAATAAATGAGATTTGGCTCAATTAACCTTTTTTCTTTTTATGACAAAGTATATCCGGACCAACTTATACGTATCTCAACTAATCTTTCAGGATCTTGAAACTATCGATCAGATAAGAGTTCGAGTGACTACCCTTATTTGCAACGAGTTCAATTAACTTGGCAGGCTGATGTTTAGTTGTCAATTGTCATGCAGAAAATGAAAATAAGTTTGATGGAATTGGGTAATTACTAATTTCAAATAAGACTGCGTAAACAGCTGTAGCCACTCATCTAATATTTCCACATTTTCAATGTGTTTATTATTTGTAATATGCCATATGAAAAGTCTTTTATTTTTTTACTTCTTGCGAAAGTCCAAGTTGATTTAGATAAAAGTGGGTAAGATTTTTAACATTGATTTTATTCTTTAGAAGGAAATATTAAGAATATTGAAAATAAATTGAAATCTGTTGATGCGTGATTTTGACACCAACCAAACGCACGTGTGAAATACTGAGTAGGCCCAGAGAACACACGTGAATATAAAAATGAGATTAAATGCAATGGAAAACAGTATTTAAAGTGGTTCGGATGCTAAGGAAGCGAATCCTACATCCACTGATTTTTGTATTAATGATAGAGGTCAGGTCACGTTAGCGGACTGACTTACAAATGATTGTACAAGAGAGAGAATGTTATATATTGTTGAGAGAGAGAGAGTAGCTAATCCCGTAAATGAGAGAAGAGCTCTCA